TGTGATTGATTCTGTCATTCTGTGATTCTGTGATTGATTCTGTGATTCTGTGATTGATTCTGTGATTCTGTGGCGGTGTGATTGATTCTGTCGTTCTGTGATTCTGTGATTGTGTGATTGATTCTGTCATTCTGTGATTGATTTATTTTGTGATTGTGTGATTGATTCCATGACTCTGTGATTCTGTGATGCTGTGATTGATTCTGTCATTCTGTAATTCTGTGATTGATTCTGTTATTCTGTGATTGATTCTGTGATTCTGTGATTTGCTGGGTACCACTCCTCCAACCAGGATGACCTACAAGAGCACAGAGTGCTGCTGAGCATGAGAAGGAAAAGATAATAATAGTAATAATAAAAAWTACAGGATGCTTGTCTTGAAGAGCAGCAAATGCAGCCCTGAAACAGCAACCAGAGAAAGGCAGCCTGGGGCAATCCCCCTGTGTCAAACACACACCCAGAGGCAGAGGATGGCTGAAATCAGTCCCTGCTCCCAGAAACACCCACAGGCTCAAACACAGAATGCCAGACCCACAACTGAGCAGATCTTTAGTACAGGTACCCTTTCCTGCTGTGCAGAGGGAGGTGAAGGCACCTGAAACACTTGAAATATTCCTAAAGTTGTGTGCACACCTAAAACCAGGGAGGGGTCTTAATTCCCCAGCCTTTAATGAGTTCATGTTTTAATTTTTCACACATTTTGAGAGAGAATCAGCAGAGTTSAAATGATTCAGAAGACAATGCCCCTTCATTTTCTGTTCGTGCTCTCGCTTCTCACAGGTGCTTCTGAAAACTAGGTCAGGCCTATGATGTATATTTTAAATTTTCACTGCTTGCAGGGAAGAATAAAGTACTTCAGCGCATCATTTGGCTGAAAACAACTCCAGAACAGAGAATATTACCCAAAATTATTATGTCAAAGTGACTGAAAAGCAAAACAYCCCAGCCCAGCCCACCCCAGAGGAGGGGACTGCTCCTTCAGATCTGTACATTGCCATCTCCCCTTCCCCCACGTGACTCCTGGGAATAGATCAAAACAATAAACTCACCCAAAACTCAAGCCCTGAGAAAGCATCAGCTATAAGCAAAATGAATTATTTAAAGAAAATGTTTTGCCTGCAAAGGGATGAAAACACTTCCAGAGGTGCTGATTTTTTTTCTTTTATGAGGCAGAGCACAAGAAAATGAGAAACTGATGATGTTTGTGGGTTTTTTCCTACATGAAACAATAACTTGTCAAGTATTATGGTTACACAAGACTAATTAGCAGAATGAGTAATTTTTCCTTTAGAGAGAGAGAGCTCCCAGGAGATACAAAAGTCTGAGCAGCAAATGATTTCTCACTGGAATTAAAGTGTGATTTGCCCTCCTCACATTGGAGGCTGAGCAGGTTTTTCCTGTGCTGTGGGATTGATGTCCAGGGTTTTTCCCTGCAGGAGCTGCCCCCAGCCATGGCCAGGGCAGCAGGGGTTGTGCCTAAGGCTCCCTCCTCACCACCTCGTATTTCAACACCACCCAATAGTGAGCTGGGCTCTGCTTCCACMCCYCCTGACATTTCATGGCCCTAAACACCCCCTGACCCCCCCAGCCAGGCAAGGAAGCGTTYCTGGAGAACAGAGGGAGCTGGGAATGCTGCAGCAATCAGGGGACATGGGGTGATCACCGTTTTATTTGCAGTGGAACACTTTGTGCAAAGCCTTTTAAATTCAGCCAGGATTTTGGCATCCTCAGAGCGAAGGATTCCATCCATGGCTGGAACACTTCTGCACCCAAAGCTGGGCTGGGCTGGGGTCCTGCACCAGACACACTCACACTTTTCAAACCTGCACCCTTCATGCTTTCCCCAGGCTGAGAAATCCTGGTTTCACCATTTTTTCCAAAGAAAACCCTCCTGTAAAAACCTCTGACCCCACTGCAGCCACTCCAGGTTCCAGCATGATCCAAGTGCAGCCAGGATTTTATCCACAATGTTATCAAAGCCCCACTTTGGCTGTTCACCTCTCCTAATAAATTCTTTTTTTCTGTTTCTTAATTTTTTCTATTTTTTTTCAGGGCTAAACTTTCTCCTCACTGTGTTTAACAGCCTTTAACCTTCATGCCCTACCTGATTGTTCCTGGTTAAATAACCTAGTCTTTTTAAATTTCAATTCACCACCCATAAAGTTGGGATAAAACCACTTTCTGAATCACAGTGAGGGCATAATCATGAGTTCATTAAAGATGAGGACAGCTAAGACCCAGTGGCTATATGAGTACTTATCACCAGTTAAAAAAATCTGTTAAAAATTATTTAAAAAATATTAAAAACTGATTTTAAAACCTCGTTATTTTGCTGTTTTCACTGACAAGGACTGAGCTGGGATTTCCAACTCCATCTCCAGACCGTTCCAACTCTAAGAACTCCACCCTAGGTGATGGTCAGACCAGTCCCCATCCTGTCTCCACCTGTTTGAATCCTCTCTCCCAGTGGACACCTGCAATTCCGTGGCCTCTCGTGCACTCCCAGCATTTCAAACATCCCCTGCAGATCTCCAGGGGTGATCTTTGTCCTCGTGCCCCCAAAGCAGCTCTGAGACCATGAGCTCCCCCTCCCTACAGATCATTTATGGCCACACTGAGCTGCACAGGCTCCASCACATCCCTCCCTAGAACTGGCTCTTCTATTCCCATCTCATCTCCTGGGTCCAGTGYTCAAACTGGGCTCAAGATTTTTGGTTTTTATTGACACACTCTTAAAAACCATCCCATTCCACTCCACAAGCTGTGCAAGAGGCACCTGGAGGGCAGGAGAAGGGAGAAGGCATTCAGAAAAGCACAGGGAAAAGATGGTTTCCACATGAATTTCATCTCCTAAGGTACACTGAAATGCCATTTCCCACTTGGAATTAAACATTCCAAGATTAAATTAAACATTAAAGATTACACATTAACAAAACAATTAAACATTAAAGATTACAAATATTGTTATTTTCCCTTTTTTGCCCCGTGGGAGATGACAGGACTGACCTTAATGTGTCTGTTCATGGCAGTGGACTGAGCAGCTCGAACCAGACCTTCCAGCTCAGCCCCACTGAAGTTTTTGGTCTCCACTGCSAGCTCTGCAATGTCCACATCCTCAGCCAGCAGCTGGTGCTCCCTCATCCTCACCGTGTGGATGTGCAGGATTTGGAACCGGCCCTTCTCATCTGGCAAACCTGGGGTGGGGACAGAACACACCAAACCCCTGAGAACACACCAAACCCCTGAGAACACACCAAACTCCTGAGAACACACCAAACTCCTGAGACAGGCACTGCAAACCCCTGAGAACACACCAAACCCCTGAGAACACACCAAACCCCTGAGACAGGCACTGCAAACCCCTGAGAACACACCAAACCCCTGAGAACACACCAAACTCCTGAGAACACACCAAACCCCTGAGAACACACCAAACTCCTGAGAACACACCAAACCCCTGAGAACACACCAAACCCCTGAGACAGGCACTGCAAACCCCCTGCCCTCCAAAGACACCTTCTCCCCACCAGTCTGCATCACAAGGAGAGGATTTGATAAAGATTTTCATTGAAAACATTCAATTACACATTCAATTGCCCTTGAGTAGTGTCACCACCAAACCAGTGAGACAACCCCAAGGAACTTGAGTTTCTCTCCTCCAAGTGGTTTATTCTCAAATCCCCACCCCAGGCATCTGTGAGCACCTTCTGCCCACCAGTCTGCATCACAAGGAGAGGATTTGATAATGCTTTTAATTGAAAACACTTAATTACACTAATTGCCCTTGAGCAGTGTCACCACCAAACCAAGAGACAAGCCCAAAGCTGAGTTTCTCTCCTCAGGGATCCTCCAAGTTGGTTTTCACAGATCCCCACCTCAGGAATTTGTGGGCACCTTCTCCCCACAAGTTTGCACTCACAAGTAGAGGATTTGATAATTTGATATTCCTCATTGAGAATATTGGATTACACTAATTGCCCTTGAGCAGTGGCACCACCAAACCAGAGAGAAAAGCCCAAGGAATTGGAGTTTCTCTCCTCAGGGTTCCTCCACACCAGTTGTTCTCAGATCCCCACCCCAGGAATTCATGGGCACCTTCTCCCCATGAGTCTATACTCACAAGGAAAGGATTTGATAAAGATTTTACTGAAAACACTTCATTACACTAATTGCCCTYGAGCAGTGCTAATTGGGCATTGGCATCACCAAACCAGAGAGACAAGCCCAAAGCCAAGTTTCTCTCCTCCAAGTTGGTTGCTCTCAGATCTTCACCCCAGGAATTTGTGGGCACCTTCTCCCCAGGAGTTTGCACTCATAAGGAGAGGATTTGGTAAAGATCTTCACTGAGAACATTTAATTTAAGCACCCTCGAGCAGTGCTAATTGGGCAGTSTCATCACCAAACCAGAGAGACAAGCTCAAAACTGAGTTTCCCTCCTCAGGGTTCCTCCAAGTTGGTTGTTCTCAGATCCCAACCCCAGGAATCCCTGTTAAACAATCTGCTCAGTCCCCTGACCCCTCAATCCAGCTCCCASCTTGCAAATATCATGGAAATACTGCTCTGCTGTAGGGTAGTGGTGTTTAGGGGTTGGGATCTGCTCCTTACCAATCTCCATCTTCACCTCCAGCCTCCCCGGTCTCAGCAGGGCCTCGTCAATCAGGTCAGGTCTGTTGGTCATTCCTAAAATTAAAGTTAACAACAGAACAATTTCTCTCTGAGCTTTCTAAGTGGTTTTCCAGCCCCTGGTACAGCCCATAGAGTAAGAGAGATACTCAAAGAGTCCCAAAATACAGACAGAAGGCACCCATCTTCTGGAACAGTCATGCCCTGAGGGAGAGCCAGGGCAGCAGGGAGCAAAGCTGTGCTTGTGGCTGGATCCACCTGTCCTTGGGGTGCACCTGCACCAGGACAAACACACAGCTGGAGCTGCCCCACTGCCCCACAGGCTGATAAATCCATTCCATCAGGCCTTCAAGGTCTTCCTAAACCAWGAAATTATCAAAAACTTGCAAGTTTCCCTAAATCCATCAGTCCTTGCAGGTTTTCCTAAACCATGAAACCATGAAACCCTAAACCATGAGATTACAAAAAACTGAAGGAGGACATCACTTAAAGCCCTTGCAGGTTTCCCTAAATCCATCAGTCCTTACAGGTTTCCCTAAACCATGAAACCATGCAACCCTAAACCATGAGATTACAAAAAACTGAAGGAGGACATCACTTAAAGTCCTTGAAGATTTTCCTAAATCCATCAGTCCTTGCATGTTTTCCTAAACCATGAAACCATGAAACCCTAAACCATGAAATTACCAAAAACTGAAGGAGGACACAGCTGAAAGCAGCAACATCTGCCACCCCCAGCAGCATCCCCATGTGGGATGGCACCTCAGGTGTGAGGAAAAGAGCAGCAGAGCTCCCCCAGCCCCAGACAGAGGCAGACAGCCCCACGTACCAATGACCAGGATGTTGTTGAGTTGCTCCACGCCGTCGATTTTGGAGAGCAGCTGGTTGACCACGGTGTCGTGCACGCCGGTGCTGCCGGCCATGCTGCCCCTCTGCTTGCAGATGGCGTCGATCTCGTCAAAAATGATGATGTGCACCCCACTGTTGGCTCCGAGCTGTGGGAGAGGGGACGTGTCAGGAATGTCACCGGTCTGAGCGCTGAGRGGAACCCAAAATCAGCACTGAGCTGTGCCTGAGCTCAGGCACACAGACACAGCACTGGCACTCCCTGTGTGTCACACGTGTGGTGTGTGCATCTCACCCCTGCCCATCCCTGAACCAGGGCTTTGGTGGGCTCTGCCCAAAATTAGGACTTGGCAGCTCCAAGGGTTCAAGCAAGAGCACAGAAACCTTTCCAGGGTCACACCTTGCCCATCCCTGAACCAGGGCTTTGGTGGGCTCTGCCCAAAATTAGGACTTGGCAGTTTCAAGGAAGAGCACAAGGCTGAATTAGCAAAGCAAAGGCCAAAAACCTTTCCACAGCAACATCATGCCCATCCCTAAACCAGGACTTTGGTGGGCTATGCACAATTGTATGACTTTGCAACTCCAAGGGTTCAAGGAAGAGCACAGAAACCTTCCCAAGGTAATACCTTGCCCATCCTCAAACCAGGGGCTTTGCTGGGTTCTGCCCAAAGTTAGGACTTCGCAGTTTCAAGGAAGAGCACAAGGCTGAACGAGCAAAGCAAAGCCCAAAAACGTTTCCATAGCAACATCCTGCCCATCCTCAAACCAGGGGCTTTGGTGGGCTCTGCCCAATCTCAGGACTTTGCAGCTCCACTGGGTTAAAGGAAGAGCACAAGGCTGAAGAAGCAAAGCAAAACCCAAAAACCTTTCCAGGGTAACATCCTGCCCATCCCCAAAACAGGGGCTTTGATGGGTTCTGCCCAAAGTTAGGACTTTGCAGTTCCAAGGAAGAGCAGGAGGCTGAGCGAGCAAAGTAAAGCCCAAAAACCTTTCCAGGGTAACACYCTGCCCATSCYCAAASCAGGRGCTTTGGTRGACTCAGYCCAAACTTRGRACKTGGCAGTTTCAAGGAAGAGCASGAGGYTGAACGAGCAAAGGCCAAACCTGGAGCAGGCAGCCCCAAGGGTGGTGGGAAAGCTCTCCAGGAGACAGGAACAAGGCTGCTCTGGGGAGGGAGGGATGCAGCAGGGTGGGAACACCCCAGGCTGGACCCAAGTCTGTAAATACACAGAGCAGCTCTGCTGTTAATATTTCTAAGGAGCCCAATTCCCTGCGTCCCAGTCAGCCCCAGAACTGCCATTTCCAGGTTCACCCAGGGGTGAGGCACTTGCAGCTGGGAAGAGAACAGGATGCTTTTTGTGACCACGTTATGAAGCTTTTTCCCTCCCAATTCCACCTCTAAACCATCTTTTGTGGCCGGTGCAGAGCCCGTTATCAGGGGGTGAATGCTGGCCCTGGCAGCRTGCCCCAGACTCAGGCAGCACAATGCCAACCTTTGGGAGACCTTTTTAATCTCCCAGCTGTCATCAGGGCTGGCTCCTGCAGCCAATATCGAGTCTGGTTTAACAGGTGGGTTATTGCCAAGGGGAAGCAGCTCCCAGAGATCCTGCAACCAGCAGGGAGCAGGAGAATTCTCGTGTGGYTCTGTGTCTCCACACCAATCTGAGTGAATAAGAAATGAAATTAAATTATCACAAGCTGCCACCAAAATCTGTGTATTGTGAGCTGAATCAAATTCAGGGATCCTTTGCTAATGATTTCTGAAAAGATTTCCCTGTATTTAACTGGGACTTGCCTTGACATTTGGTTTTCTTTACCAGAAAATTTGTCAAGATTAAGTGATCCACAGCAGAGAAAAATTACTGTAGCACACATGAAATAAGTACTTACACCTTGAAAGGTGTAAACTCCACCTAAAGATTGGGGTTTTGATAGCCAGATAAAGTAATGGATAAAAAACAACCCTGGAAAAAGCAGAACCTTTCTCTTCACTTTAGTTTCATGATATTATTCTCAACCATTCATTTTCTGCTGAGAAAAATTAACCATGTAGAGATTTACAGCATTTMAAGGATTATAACATAGCAATATGCCTGCAATCTCAAAAGCTGAAACTCTGAAAGCTTATTTGGAATTCTTCCTATGTTATGTGTCAGCTTAGGAAAAATAGGAGGAAAATAGGAAATAGTAGGAAAAATCCAAATAGATCAATTATGTCTCCCCCAAATAAAAAAAAAATAAAAAAAAAAAGAAACTAAAGACAGAGCAAAATTTGTACAATCTGAGTTTTAAGGACTTTTGGAGCAGGTGACAGCACATCATGCAAAGGAAGCAGGGTGGGCACTGCTGGATTATTCCCAAATAATTGTGCATGGAATTCCAGAGCTGGCTGGAGTTCAGGTGCCTCTCCAGGATCCCACACTGTTCCAAATAACCCCAATATTCCAATTATTCACCAGGAATAACCATAACYCCAAGCCAAGCAGTGACTCTGCCTTCAATACAATCCACAATTTCCAGATTCCAGCCCTCCTTCCCGTCTCTCAGCAGACAGTGGGGTGGCCATTCCCACCATCCCCACGGATCCTGTGCCTCCTTACCCTCCTCTGCTCCTCCTCTGCATCAGCAAACAGCTTCCTGATGTTGGCCTCAGACTCTCCCACGTATTTGTTGAGGATTTCGGGCCCGTTGACCACCTTGGGCTCCCTGGCATTGAGCATTTTGCCGATCTGCCGGGCCATCAGAGTCTTCCCACAGCCCGGGGGCCCGTACAGGAGGATGCCCTTGACGTGCTTGCAGCCTGCAAGGAGAGTGATGCATTAGGATTTTTAGTTTCT